GGTAAAAGACGAAAGAACAAACGAAATGTATATGACTCACTGATACGTTATCAACGTGCCCATTGTATTGCGAAATTAATGAAATGAAAGATTTATCTGCGCCGCAAAGTTGCAAAGGAACGAGACGATCTAGAGGAGACGTTCGGCGTAGACTATGCAAATATCATATGTGGTTCGGGCGTAGACGTTCAGCGTAGACTCTGCAAATAGCGTAGACCCATGTGTAGAATCGTCATGATCCAACCAATCAAACGCAAATGTTTAGAATTTATTCTGTTGCCCGTTTTGAATCCTTTGATTGTATCGATTGTTGTAATCCTTTGCAATTTCTGTCAGAAAATCAACTACTCAAATAAAAGAATCCTAATAAACGAATTTCTGTTATTGTAGAACTAGTTAGGAATCTGCCCACGGACAAGGCAACAATGAACACGTCACTGTTCATACCAAAGCATCTAGCTTCACTCCTCTTGTTCACAATGAACATGTCAATCAACAAAATGTTGGGAATAATCCAAACGTTGGTGCTCAAAACAACCTTGTAATTCCTGCTTTCCTGGCTAATGTTTTCCAAGAGATAGCCAATGCACCAATGTTTCAACCACCTCCACCACCGCCACCTTGTGTAGTAACCTACAAAATGCAAAGGGATAACGGTGCAGAGATATTCTCCTTGGGGATCGCATCGCTGAACCCCAAATTGCATGGGACTAGATCGAGCAGACCGCTCGAGTGTTGGAAGATCTTAATGTACCCATCGGCAACTATCCAGACTGGCTTCTCATCTGCTTCGCAAGGAAGCCTACAAATGGTGGTAGAGAACTGATGAAAGCGCAGAAACTCCAAAGTCGTGGACTTGGGCACATTTTGAATGGGCATTCAAGCAAGAATATATTCCTAAAGGTTTTTGCGAAGAAAGACGTAAGGAATTTGTTGAACTACAATAGGGAGATATGACACTCCATGAATACTGTCAGAAGTTTACCCGTCTTGCTAAGTCGTTGGTGTCCATCTTGACCACTGTGGATTTCGCGGCGGCTTATGATCTAATAGTCAGGGCAGATAATGACTTGACTGCTTGCAATGAGTATCTGAAAATGAATCATGTTAGTCCAAGTACTCATCAACCCACCAGTTCTGTTTCAAAAGGGAAAAGGCCTTTCCAAGGACCTAGCAATTCACATTTCTCGAAGAAGGGAAAATCTGTACAAACCCAGTTGATGAAATCCGGTAATAGGACAAAGGGGTGGAAAAATCCACTGTGTGACAAATGCGAGAGACACCACCCTCGGGAATGTTGGCTTGCACAAGAATTATGTCTCGACTCTGGAAAGCCTGGACATTTTCGAAAGAAATGCCCCACGAATCCCGGTGAACCATTTCCACCTGCCCCTGTTGCTAGCCAGTTAGCATCAGCACGACCTGCGCCAAGTCAACGGTCAACTGCGGGATCTAATCCTTCCAAGAATCAAAACCAGCAGCAAGGACAAGCTCCTGCCTGTACCTATGCAGTGAAGGCTCGAACTGAGGAAAACCCTGACGTCATATAGGGTATGTTTTCCTTATTTGATATTATCATGAATGTGCTAGTAGAGCCTGGATCAACGTTATCTTATATTTGCGTGCTTATGCCTGAAAAAGCTGACATAATAAAAGAAAAATTAGAACAACCTATACTAGTGTCTAATCGGTTAGGACATAGTATGAGGTTAAATCATGTGTATCAAGACTATCCATTAATTGTTGAAGGACAACAATTTTCTACAAAACTTGTTGAATTACCGTACAAAGAATTAGACATCATCCTTGGAATGGATTGGCTCACTCAACATCAGGTGGTTATTGATTGCCGACAACGAAGATACAACTGAAAACCAACGAAGGAAAATCTATAATGGTGAAAGAAAATCCAACTCCTAAACCCACTGAGTTCATCTCGTACATACACGCTAAGCGTCTCATTCGAAAGAAATGTGAGGCTTTTCTGTGTATACCGATAGTATGTAATTTTCCTGACGTATTTCCTGACAAACTTCCTGGTATACCATCTTCGAGAGAAGTGGAATTCTCTATCGATCTTGTTCCTAGAACAGGACCGATATCTGCAACCCCCTATCGCATGGCTCCTGCTGAAATGAAAGAGTTGAAGGCTCAACTACAAGAGTTGCTCGATAAAGGATTCATTCGACCAAGGGTTTCCCCATTGGGAGCACATGTTCTATTTGTCAAAAAGAAGGACGGCTCAATAAGACTCTGCATCAATTACCGTCAATTAAACAAAGTCACCTTAAAAAATCGATATCCTTTACCTCGTATCGATGACTTATTTGATCAGCTTAGAGGATCTACTGTGTTCTCTAAGATTGACTTACGGTCAGGATACCATCAAATCCCTGTCAAGAAAGAGGACATTCCAAAGACTGCATTCCGTACTCATTATGGTCATTATGAGTTCACGGTGATGCCCTTTGGTTTGACCAATGCTCCTGCGGTATTCATGGATCTCATGAATAGTGTATTCCGACCCTATCTTGATCAATTTGTAGTTGTGTTCATCGACGACCTTCTTGTATATTCGAAGAATCGAGAAGACCATGCAAAACACCTGGAGTTAGTACTCAGTGTACTACGAGAACACAAACTTTATGCAAAGTTATCCAAGTGTGAATTCTGGCTTGATGAAGTGACATTTCTTGGTTATGTGATTTCGAAAGAAGGTGTCAAAGTGGACCCTAGCAAAACATCCTCCATTACCGAATGGAAAGTTCCGTGGAATGTTCGTGAAGTGAGAAGTTTTCTAGGATTAGCCGGATACTATTGATGATTCTTTGAAGGCTTTTCCTTGATCGTAACTCCACTTAACAAACTTCTGAGGAAAGATGTGGAATTCATGTGGACCGACGCATGTAAACAAAGCTTCGAAAAACTAAAGAAATGTCTTATAGAAGCACCTGTACTGACACAACCAGTACCAGGTGTAGACTACACAATCTTTAGTGACGCATCTCATAATGGCTTGGGATGTGTACTTATGCAAGACGGTAAGGTCGTGGCATACGCATCAAGGCAGTTGAAACCTCACGAATGTAATTATCCCACTCATGATCTTGAGTTAGCACTAGTTATATTTGCTTTGAAAATATGGCTTCATTATATCTTTAGAGAAACGACATATATTCATACAAACTATAAAAGTCTGAACATGTTAACTCAGAAAGAGTTGAATCTGAGGCAAAGAAGATGGCTGGAACTTATCAAGGACTACGACTGCTACATCGACTATCACCCTAGTAAGGCTAACGTAGTTGCTGATGCGTTGAGCCGAAAGATGATAGCCGAACTCCGAGTCCAGCAACCTCTTGAGAACGAAATTCACGCTGCACAAAAACATGATGAATATTGTCTAAAGACTTGTGAGCTTGTTTCTAAGGGGGGGAGACAAGATTTCACCATAGATAATGGAATTTTATTCTACAGGAATCGTTTGGTAGTTCCTAGTGGCGAAGTGAGAGAACGTTTGATGCGTGAATCTCACGAAACCACATATACCATGCATCCTGGCAGTAATGTTTCACGATCTAAAGAAGACGTATTGGTGGCCCACAATGAAACGTGAGATTTTAGAATTTACAACTCGATGCATGACATGTCAACAAGTCAACGTAGAACATCAAGTACCAAATGGATTGTTACATCCGCCTATCATTCCTGAATGAAAGTGGGAACAAATTACGATGGATTTTGTAATTGGACTTCCATTGTCAGTTAAGAAAAATGATGTTGTTTGGGTAATCGTTGACCGATTAACCAAGTCATCTCAATTCATTCCAATTCGACGTGATTTATCATTGAAAAAGTTGGTAGAATTGTACATCCGTGAGATCGTAAGATTACATGGTGTGCCTTCGTCTATCATTCCTGATCGTGACCCGCGAAACACATTGTAATTCTAGAAAAGTCTGCAGAAAGCCTTAGGTACTAAACTCAACTTTAGTATGGGATTTCATCCACAAATTGACGAACAATTTGAAAGAACAATCCAAATTCTGGAAGATACGATGAGGGCATGTGTAATAGATTTTGGAAGCAAGTGGGAACAATACCTACCATTAATGGAGTTTGCTTATAACAACAGTTATCAAGCAAGTATCCAAATGGCCCCGTACGAAGCTCTCTATGGGAGACATTGTAGAACCCGAGTATGCTGGACATAATTAAGCGGGCAAAAACTTGAAGAACCCGATCTTGTTCGAGAAACTAAAGAAAAAGTTCGTCTGATCAGAGAAAGACTACAAGTAGCTTCTGACCGAAAGAAATCTTATGCCAACTTGAAACGTTGTGAGATTGAATACAACGTGGATGACAGGGTGTTTTTGAAAGTATCGCCTTGGAAGAAAGTGTTACAGTTTGGTAGGAAGGGAAAACCGAGTCCAAGGTATATTGGACCATACCGAATCACTGAACGTGTGGGTCCAGTAGCCTCCCGGTTAGAACTACCGCTCGAATTGAACAAAATTCATGACGTATTCCATGTATCAATGTTGAAAAGGTATCATTATGATCCATCGCATATCTTGACTAATGAAATCGTAACACTTGACAAGCGTTTGACCTACAAGGAGAAACCTGTACAAATTCTGGCACGGAGAGGTCAAGCAATTGAGAAACAAATCTGTACCTCTAGTCAAAGTATTATGGAGGAATCACTCGACTGAAAAGACAACATGGGAAATCAAAGAGTCAATGAGAACGCATTAAGGGGGGGAGAAATGTAACTCCCCAAAAATGAGCCTATCAAAATTAATTAATTGATAATTAATTCATTATTGAAAAGCACCCAAAAAAATGATTTGTAAAGTTTGTCAATAAATAATGAAAATTATATTATTATGTAGAGTTTGACGGTCTGATCCCAACGGTTCAATAGGATTTACATTCGGAGAAAGTTGGACCAAAAAGTGTACCCCGACTAGGACCAAATATTAGTCCTAATCAGGGAACTACACAACAATCAGCGGCTATTGTTTAATCGGCGCACAAGCCGATTTTGGGGATTCAGGGAAATTTCACCAGTGTCTTCTTCCTCTTCCTTCCCCTATATAAGAAAATCCTATCTGTTAGAATAATAGACCAACGCTAGAGGGGGGGGGTGAATAGCATTTGATCGTAGAAATCGCAGGAATTAAAAAATTAAAAGAGAAGTAAAGAGAAGAGTAAGAGGCACACCGAATTTTACCCTGGTTCACTTCAACTTGTGGCTAATCCAGCCTCCCGAGAGACTCTCTCGAGCTACACTACTATCTCGTTAAGCTTGCGGGTGCTTAACAAACCGTTACAACTTGAGAGTTCGAGTTACACGAACCTCAACGAGTCCTTCAAAGGAAACAGCCCTTCCTTTGAATCTACCGAGAGAAATACTTTCTCTCAAAGTGTCTAAGAACACGAATACACTCAAGAACGAGGCTCTCTTATAGAGTAGATTATGAGTAAACTAAGTACGCTCAAGAACAACTCAACCTTCACACAANTTTGTTAAGCACCCGCAAGCTTAACGAGATAGTAGTGTAGCTCGAGAGAGTCTCTCGGGAGGCTGGATTAGCCACAAGTTGAAGTGAACCAGGGTAAAATTCGGTGTGCCTCTTACTCTTCTCTTTACTTCTCTTTTAATTTTTTAATTCCTGCGATTTCTACGATCAAATGCTATTCACCCCCCCCCTCTAGCGTTGGTCTATTATTCTAACAGATAGGATTTTCTTATATAGGGGAAGGAAGAGGAAGAAGACACTGGTGAAATTTCCCTGAATCCCCAAAATCGGCTTGTGCGCCGATTAAACAATAGCCGCTGATTGTTGTGTAGTTCCCTGATTAGGACTAATATTTGGTCCTAGTCGGGGTACACTTTTTGGTCCAACTTTCTCCGAATGTAAATCCTATTGAACCGTTGGGATCAGACCGTCAAACTCTACATAATAATATAATTTTCATTATTTATTGACAAACTTTACAAATCATTTTTTTGGGTGCTTTTCAATAATGAATTAATTATCAATTAATTAATTTTGATAGGCTCATTTTTGGGGAGTTACATTTCTCCCCCCCTTAATGCGTTCTCATTGACTCTTTGATTTCCCATGTTGTCTTTTCAGTCGAGTGATTCCTCCATAATACTTTGACTAGAGGTACAGATTTGTTTCTCAATTGCTTGACCTCTCCGTGCCAGAATTTGTACAGGTTTCTCCTTGTAGGTCAAACGCTTGTCAAGTGTTACGATTTCATTAGTCAAGATATGCGATGGATCATAATGATACCTTTTCAACATTGATACATGGAATACGTCATGAATTTTGTTCAATTCGAGCGGTAGTTCTAACCGGGAGGCTACTGGACCCACACGTTCAGTGATTCGGTATGGTCCAATATACCTTGGACTCGGTTTTCCCTTCCTACCAAACTGTAACACTTTCTTCCAAGGCGATACTTTCAAAAACACCCTGTCATCCACGTTGTATTCAATCTCACAACGTTTCAAGTTGGCATAAGATTTCTTTCGGTCAGAAGCTACTTGTAGTCTTTCTCTGATCAGACGAACTTTTTCTTTAGTTTCTCGAACAAGATCGGGTTCTTCAAGTTTTTGCCCGCTTAATTATGTCCAGCATACTCGGGTTCTACAATGTCTCCCATAGAGAGCTTCGTACGGGGCCATTTGGATACTTGCTTGATAACTGTTGTTATAAGCAAACTCCATTAATGGTAGGTATTGTTCCCACTTGCTTCCAAAATCTATTACACATGCCCTCATCGTATCTTCCAGAATTTGGATTGTTCTTTCAAATTGTTCGTCAATTTGTGGATGAAATCCCATACTAAAGTTGAGTTTAGTACCTAAGGCTTTCTGCAGACTTTTCTAGAATTACAATGTGTTTCGCGGGTCACGATCAGGAATGATAGACGAAGGCACACCATGTAATCTTACGATCTCACGGATGTACAATTCTACCAACTTTTTCAATGATAAATCACGTCGAATTGGAATGAATTGAGATGACTTGGTTAATCGGTCAACGATTACCCAAACAACATCATTTTTCTTAACTGACAATGGAAGTCCAATTACAAAATCCATCGTAATTTGTTCCCACTTTCATTCAGGAATGATAGGCGGATGTAACAATCCATTTGGTACTTGATGTTCTACGTTGACTTGTTGACATGTCATGCATCGAGTTGTAAATTCTAAAATCTCACGTTTCATTGTGGGCCACCAATACGTCTTCTTTAGATCGTGAAACATTACTGCCAGGATGCATGGTATATGTGGTTTCGTGAGATTCACGCATCAAACGTTCTCTCACTTCGCCACTAGGAACTACCAAACGATTCCTGTAGAATAAAATTCCATTATCTATGGTGAAATCTTGTCTCCCCCCCTTAGAAACAAGCTCACAAGTCTTTAGACAATATTCATCATGTTTTTGTGCAGCGTGAATTTCGTTCTCAAGAGGTTGCTGGACTCGGAGTTCGGCTATCATCTTTCGGCTCAACGCATCAGCAACTACGTTAGCCTTACTAGGGTGATAGTCGATGTAGCAGTCGTAGTCCTTGATAAGTTCCAGCCATCTTCTTTGCCTCAGATTCAACTCTTTCTGAGTTAACATGTTCAGACTTTTATAGTTTGTATGAATATATGTCGTTTCTCTAAAGATATAATGAAGCCATATTTTCAAAGCAAATATAACTAGTGCTAACTCAAGATCATGAGTGGGATAATTACATTCGTGAGGTTTCAACTGCCTTGATGCGTATGCCACGACCTTACCGTCTTGCATAAGTACACATCCCAAGCCATTATGAGATGCGTCACTAAAGATTGTGTAGTCTACACCTGGTACTGGTTGTGTCAGTACAGGTGCTTCTATAAGACATTTCTTTAGTTTTTCGAAGCTTTGTTTACATGCGTCGGTCCACATGAATTCCACATCTTTCCTCAGAAGTTTGTTAAGTGGAGTTACGATCAAGGAAAAGCCTTCAAAGAATCATCAATAGTATCCGGCTAATCCTAGAAAACTTCTCACTTCACGAACATTCCACGGAACTTTCCATTCGGTAATGGAGGATGTTTTGCTAGGGTCCACTTTGACACCTTCTTTCGAAATCACATAACCAAGAAATGTCACTTCATCAAGCCAGAATTCACACTTGGATAACTTTGCATAAAGTTTGTGTTCTCGTAGTACACTGAGTACTAACTCCAGGTGTTTTGCATGGTCTTCTCGATTCTTCGAATATACAAGAAGGTCGTCGATGAACACAACTACAAATTGATCAAGATAGGGTCGGAATACACTATTCATGAGATCCATGAATACCGCAGGAGCATTGGTCAAACCAAAGGGCATCACCGTGAACTCATAATGACCATAATGAGTACGGAATGCAGTCTTTGGAATGTCCTCTTTCTTGACAGGGATTTGATGGTATCCTGACCGTAAGTCAATCTTAGAGAACACAGTAGATCCTCTAAGCTGATCAAATAAGTCATCGATACGAGGTAAAGGATATCGATTTTTTAAGGTGACTTTGTTTAATTGACGGTAATTGATGCAGAGTCTTATTGAGCCGTCCTTCTTTTTGACAAATAGAACATGTGCTCCCAATGGGGAAACCCTTGGTCGAATGAATCCTTTATCGAGCAACTCTTGTAGTTGAGCCTTCAACTCTTTCATTTCAGCAGGAGCCATGCGATAGGGGGTTGCAGATATCGGTCCTGTTCTAGGAACAAGATCGATAGAGAATTCCACTTCTCTCGAAGATGGTATACCAGGAAGTTTGTCAGGAAATACGTCAGGAAAATTACATACTATCGGTATACACAGAAAAGCCTCACATTTCTTTCGAATGAGACGCTTAGCGTGTATGTACGAGATGAACTCAGTGGGTTTAGGAGTTGGATTTTCTTTCACCATTATAGATTTTCCTTCGTTGGTTTTCAGTTGTATCTTCGTTGTCGGCAATCAATAACCACCTGATGTTGAGTGAGCCAATCCATTCCAAGGATGATGTCTAATTCTTTGTACGGTAATTCAACAAGTTTTGTAGAAAATTGTTGTCCTTCAACAATTAATGGATAGTCTTGATACACATGATTTAACCTCATACTATGTCCTAACCGATTAGACACTAGTATAGGTTGTTCTAATTTTTCTTTTATTATGTCAGCTTTTTCAGGCATAAGCACGCAAATATAAGATAACGTTGATCCAGGCTCTACTAGCACATTCATGATAATATCAAATAAGGAAAACATACCCTATATGACGTCAGGGTTTTCCTCAGTTCGAGCCTTCACTGCATAGGTACAGGCAGGAGCTTGTCCTTGCTGCTGGTTTTGATTCTTGGAAGGATTAGATCCCGCAGTTGACCGTTGACTTGGCGCAGGTCGTGCTGATGCTAACTGGCTAGCAACAGGGGCAGGTGGAAATGGTTCACCGGGATTCGTGGGGCATTTCTTTCGAAAATGTCCAGGCTTTCCAGAGTCGAGACATAATTCTTGTGCAAGCCAACATTCCCGAGGGTGGTGTCTCTCGCATTTGTCACACAGTGGATTTTTCCACCCCTTTGTCCTATTACCGGATTTCATCAACTGGGTTTGTACAGATTTTCCCTTCTTCGAGAAATGTGAATTGCTAGGTCCTTGGAAAGGCCTTTTCCCTTTTGAAACAGAACTGGTGGGTTGATGAGTACTTGGACTAACATGATTCATTTTCAGATACTCATTGCAAGCAGTCAAGTCATTATCTGCCCTGACTATTAGATCATAAGCCGCCGCGAAATCCACAGTGGTCAAGATGGACACCAACGACTTAGCAAGACGGGTAAACTTCTGACAGTATTCATGGAGTGTCATATCTCCCTATTGTAGTTCAACAAATTCCTTACGTCTTTCTTCGCAAAAACCTTTAGGAATATATTCTTGCTTGAATGCCCATTCAAAATGTGCCCAAGTCCACGACTTTGGAGTTTCTGCGCTTTCATCAGTTCTCTACCACCATTTGTAGGCTTCCTTGCGAAGCAGATGAGAAGCCAGTCTGGATAGTTGCCGATGGGTACATTAAGATCTTCCAACACTCGAGCGGTCTGCTCGATCTAGTCCCATGCAATTTGGGGTTCAGCGATGCGATCCCCAAGGAGAATATCTCTGCACCGTTATCCCTTTGCATTTTGTAGGTTACTACACAAGGTGGCGGTGGTGGAGGTGGTTGAAACATTGGTGCATTGGCTATCTCTTGGAAAACATTAGCCAGGAAAGCAGGAATTACAAGGTTGTTTTGAGCACCAACGTTTGGATTATTCCCAACATTTTGTTGATTGACATGTTCATTGTGAACAAGAGGAGTGAAGCTAGATGCTTTGGTATGAACAGTGACGTGTTCATTGTTGCCTTGTCCGTGGGCAGATTCCTAACTAGTTCTACAATAACAGAAATTCGTTTATTAGGATTCTTTTATTTGAGTAGTTGATTTTCTGACAGAAATTGCAAAGGATTACAACAATCGATACAATCAAAGGATTCAAAACGGGCAACAGAATAAATTCTAAACATTTGCGTTTGATTGGTTGGATCATGACGATTCTACACATGGGTCTACGCTATTTGCAGAGTCTACGCTGAACGTCTACGCCCGAACCACATATGATATTTGCATAGTCTACGCCGAACGTCTCCTCTAGATCGTCTCGTTCCTTTGCAACTTTGCGGCGCAGATAAATCTTTCATTTCATTAATTTCGCAATACAATGGGCACGTTGATAACGTATCAGTGAGTCATATACATTTCGTTTGTTCTTTCGTCTTTTACCAAGTACAAAAGTCCGACTTCAGTCAACACTCGATATCATTTCAGAGTTAATAGTTGACATCTATAAAAATTTAATACAGGGATGCGAGAGGGATGCGAGAGTAGTGGATGTGATTGACACATTTTTTTAAAAAAATCCACATTTTGATCCGAAGATCGGGTTTAAAACCATTTGCTTCGATACCAAATTGTAACACCCTAACCCGTCCAGGTCTGCAGCTCCTTTTGGACTAAAGTATTAATTTGGAAATCGTAAAAATTTAAAACATTTCAACATCTTTATTCATCATAAAATAATATTCAATACATGACTGTAGTAAAATACGGAGTGTTTAACCATAATGGGGGAGCAAATTTTAAACCATGTCTCATAACAACACAATTATTCATTTTATTCATAAATCCACCACGACTATCTTGTCCCCTTCCGCTGCCAGGAATATGTCAATCACTCATCCTGCCTACCTGCGTGTAGCAAATAAAACATGCTACACGCTCAACGGTGAAGCTGAGTAAGCATATCTAGAGCGTCGAACATTCACATAAATTGAATCTCAATTCATAATCAACCATTTGATATCATGCACAATATATGATTCATTCATGATATTCTCAATATTTTATTCCAAGTCATTTCGATATTCAATATCTTAACATTCATATTCAATATTCAACATTCGTATTCAACAATATCTTTAAACTTATTCTAGTTTAAGATATTCTTAACTAACCCTTAAACTAGGCCTAATTTAAGATATACATATTTTAATTTTTAACAGGTGTTCAAATCTTAAACTTACCTTCGCTTAAGGTCAACCAAAAACCGACAGTGTAGCATTCACTATTAGGTCGGGTGGTACCCCCGAACGAGTAGGGACTCAAGTTTCGTTCTTGGATCCTGTACGTACGTTTTAACCCTGACCACCGGGAATCATACCCGCAAGGCCTAACTTAAACGGGGGTATATCTTAGAGTTCTTCTAGATACCCTTTAATATCAACATCACTATGGGCATATCTTAGAGTTTTTCTAGATACCCTTAACAATACTTTATGTAACGCCCCTAAACATACCCTAGAATTATTAATGGATAATTATTCAATTAATAAAAAAAATTATTGTTGGGCTTTGGGCCAAAATAATATGTGTTTGATATCCAATATTACAATCAGGACAAGTCTTATAGAGATAAATCCCAATATCTTGACTAATTTTGTAATCTTGGTTGGGAACTTGAGTACAGACCCAAATCAATAATAAATGAAGAAATTATTTATGATGTGAACTTTGAAATGGTTTATTGAAATAAATCATGAGAATAAACAATATGAATTAAATATGAGAACCTTTTTTAGTAAAGGTCAAACAAACCAATTTTGACTCTATTAAAGTCAAACATCCAAAAATAGGAAGTCAGAAAAAGTATTTCAAATAAATATAAAAATTATATCGTTGGATAGAGTTCGACTGCCTGATCGCAACGATGCAAACGGAATTCAATTCGGAGAAAGTTGGACCAAAAAGGGTATCCCGATTGGCACCAAATATTAGTCCCAATCAGGGACTACACAACAAATGGCGTCGCTCCCTGCTCAATTACGCCGATTACAAATCACCGAAGGATTCACGAATCAAACTTCATTGACTTCTTCTTCACTAGGCTATATAAGGACCACTCTCTTCAACCCATTCCTTCACCATTTATTCTAATTCTTATTGTTGTGAGCTCCTGAGAGTGTGAGGAGTATTGTGGTGCTGTTAATTTTTTGAGAAGTTGCCGGAGCAAGCTGTAGTGTTCGCCGGAAAATCTTCAAAACCCCCATTACGCTTCGAGGTAAGCCCGTAGATAAATCTAGTGACTAGAATGTTCGTATAGATCGTTTCTACGTTTATAAATGGTCATTTGGTTGAGTTTTGTGTTTAACATGTTTAAAGTACAGTTGGGAAAAATATTATAGATTTTGATGATGATGTATTTAGATTGTACTAAGGACTTTAGGCCTTCCCCAATATTCAATGTAATTTTTCTTTTTAGAAATATTGTTAAAACCGAGTTCTTGAGATTTCCAATAAAGTTGTGATATTTCACTCTATGGTTTGATCTTTGAAGACTTAATCAAATACTGTGATATGGATATTGGATATCTTGATCGGAAATGTCAGAGACAAGTAAGGATTTCTCAAAGCAATTGAAGATCCTCTAATCCGGAACACTACATGACAATCGGATGTCTAGCTATAACCTGATGAAGGCTAAGTCATCCAAATCGGAAGACTAGTGCGGATCTCTTTCTCACCCAGAAGTCTGTGAATGACTCTTCCGGATTTGTCAGCGAAAGAACCGGATGCCTCAAGAAAAGACTGGAACTCTCAGAAGCGGACAAGTGAGAAAAGACTTAGAAAAATTCTAAGTCTTGAATGAAGAAATTCTACCCGTTGGTAAGGAAAAATCAATCTCTTGATTTTCAACGGCTAAATTGAAGATAATTAAACTGATTCCAGAACAAATGACTTGAAGACAAAGTCTGGACCCCTCAAATTAAAGAGCTCGTCCAGAATTCCTAAACAAGCACTAGAAGACAAACTGAGTAAAGAGCTACAGTCCAGAATTCTTGAACAACAGCTAGAAGACGGATTCTGTGAAAAAGGAATCCCTCAAACAATTGGGTATGTCCAAACACCCACTCCAATGAGGAATCCTCAATCACAATCTTCATTCAAAATTGAGGTCAGCAAATGCAACGGATAGTCTATTTTGATTCAACGGATAGATTATCCAATCCAACTATAAATAGCAACCTTGGAAGACTGGAGAAAGTAACGATGAGATAGAAAGCACGAAATACTTACAACGAAGAAAACTACAACAAAGCTATCTCATTCACAGAGAGATTTCTAAACTCCTTATCCAGAAGCAAACTTCTCCTCCTTCCAAAAAGTTATAGTGTAAACACTTGAAGGTTTCCTTGTCTCAAGTACCACACCACGTTGAAGGATATAACTTTTAATCAAACTTCTTGATTAAAAAGGGGGAAGATCAACTTTCTTAAAAGTTGATCTTGCAAGTCCTATTGTTCGGATCTTGCAGTTGTTGAAGAAGCGTGACCTTCGAAGGAACAACAAAGCCAGCGCGAGTGCATTAGCAACATTGGCATTGCGAAGATATACCGTGCAGAAATTCACACAAGTGTAATTGTTGGTTCATTATTCAACAACCAACTACATAGTGGATTTTGAGGACGTAGAAGGATTACCCCACCTTCGAACCTCGTTAAAGTTTGCGTGTCTCTCTCTCTTTTATCTTTACTTATACTTGCAATTATATTAACTGTGAAACTAACCCATCCATATTGATTACTGCTCTAATCACCCACCAACTTCCGCACACAATCTAAAGTTCACAAGAACTCTAGAATAAACACTCATTTTCACGTTTTCAAAAGAAACGAAAAAGTTTTTAAGTTGTAACAAAGTCTATTCACCCCCCCTCTAGACTTTGTATCTCACCACTTTGGGACCACCAAGTACCAAGAATCGTAAACCTTGAAATTGTTGTTAAAACTACGAACTAATGACTCTAAAGTGATCTGTGAACATTGGAGGACATTTCTGTATAATTTAATTAAAGTTTGGTGACTAAAAATGATATTTTCAAAAATGAACCAAGGAATAAGACAATGAACAGACACCTTTAATCGATTAACTTATACTGATTAATCGATTAATAGATAAATTCATGGATTAAACGATTAACTTATACTAATTAATCGATTAATAGATAAATTCATGGATTAATCGATTAAACTTATACTGATTAATGGATTAATAGATAAATTCATGGATTAATCGATTAATAGATTATTGATTAATAGGTTAATAGCTTGTTGATTAATGGATTAATGGATTGGTGATTAATGGATTAATGGATTGATGATTAATGGATTAATGGATTCTGATTAATAGATTAATCGATTAATACATTCTGATTAATCGATTAATTGAAGTAGCTAATAATAGATTAATTGATCATAAATAATCGATTATCTCTCTATTCCAAAGACAGAAGCGATTAATCGATTTCCAAACTCCGTTTAATCGATTATTTCATGCAGAAAACTTATTTTAAAGCATATTCTTGATATCAAACAAATATGACCAATATGAAAATGATTTCTGAAAATAAATATGATGTTTAAACA